CTCAAGACCACACATTAAAGTTAAAAGCAGTCCAAACAGAATTTGTTAAATAGTAACAAAAGCAATGAAAACTAAAAGATTTTAGCCATAGATAATATTAGGATGTGCTTAGCTGTTTCAAAATGCTTGTCTTGTTGATAATGGAGTCCTGGTAGCATAATAGATTATGAGCAGGGCTGCTAACTACAAGGTCAACAGTTCGAGTCTACCAGTCACTTCGAGGGAGAAAGATGAAACTTTCTGTTCCCATAAAGATTCACAGGCTCAAAAACCCTGTAGAGGGTCACTGTGAGTTGGGACCACCACCATCTTATTGATAAGTACAAATGCTCTCCAGACAGTACTCTAAGGCACGTTGATCAGGGGATGCTGAGATCAGTGGCAATACCAAGAAAGGCTTTGGGGGGGTTGAAGGGGTGAGGTGCTGTGGGGCAAAATAGGATAAAAGCAACCCCAAAGAAACATACAATCTTAGGACAACTAGTGAGTTGGTTATAAAAAACACAGCCTCAAAAGAAGTCCACTGGCCCTCCTTCCAGCCCCCTAAACATCCTGTAAGTAGACACAGAGCCAGAATCCCAGACTCATCACTAATTAGAGACTACTCCAGAAAAGGAAAGCTGGAGACCCCTTCCTTGGGGAGAATGCTTACTACAACAGCTTTTAAAGAAGACCTGGGTTCTAGGACAGGCTCTGCCCTGAGCTCTAAGATAGGTCTTAGTCCTCTCTGTAAAAGGAAATGGCCAAACTATGTAGTTGTTGTTAAATTGTTAAATGCCATCTAATTGGTTTCAACTCATAGTGACCCTGTAAAGGAGCTCTGGTACCATAGTAGTTATGAATTGGGCTGTGAACTGCAAGGTCAGCAGTTTGAAACTACCAGCTGCTCCGTGGGAGAAAGATGAGGCGTTCTGCTCCCATAAAGATTAACAGCCTCGGGAACCCTGTGCAGGGTCGCTATGAGTCGGAACTGACTCCACGGCACATAACAACAACAACATAGTGCTTTCAAGGAGTGGCTTGTGGATTTGAACTCTCGACCTGCAATTAGCAACCCAGTGCTTATCCTGCAGCGCCACACCAGGGCTACAAACTATAGATCATCTCTAAGAGTCCTTCTGAAACCTAGAATCTGCATCATCAAATGTTTCAAATGATGTCAAAGACAACTTTCTCTTTATAGCAACTATCAGCCCTCAGGGACCTTCACTGCTCATAACTTTCCAGCAGGCTTAAATTTAGTACAAAAATGACTACATTTAACATAATCAAATGAAGAATTATTCTAAGATTTTGTCTTAAAATTAGCCCATGAGATGTTTCTTCTTATAATTATTTATGTATTCTGAAACTAATGTCCTAAAACAATTCCGATCTGCTAGCCTGTGCTGTTGTTATTAAGTACTGTCAAATCTGTTCACACTCACCGTGACCCTGGATAGTGTTTCTGAGGCTCTAAATCTTTACAGGAGCAGAAAAACTCATGTTTCTCCCACAGCACAGCTGGTGGGCTTGAACTGCCAACCTTGTGGTTAGTACTTTAGTGTTTCTCCTACAGAGCTACCAAAGCTGTTCACTCCAAAACTAGGGAATATTTTATGAGTTAAAATAAGGCTAAAGGAATATTAATACTCTTCCTACAACAGTTCAAAAGGCCTCGGGTTTTTCATTTAGCTGATAGTGCTGACTTTGTCCATTTTCAAGAATGTTTGTTCCTTTCACCGTGTTAAATGCTAGTGACAAGAAACAAGCAGAGAAAGTAAAAACAAATAATAGCTTTTCGGAGGGCTCTGGCTTTGGCTTGGCTAGTAACCAGTTGTATGACTTGGGGCAGGCACATGAGTTCACTTTTATGAATCTCAGTTTTATTCATCTGTAATATATGGACACCATCACACCTTCACCCACAACACTCTATCCTACACCCCCACATGAAATGGGATAAGGCCAGGAATAAAAAAGAGACACGCACAGTGTTGGTTCTGTCACTGATTGTTCAAAACAAGAGACTTTGCTTCATGTGTAAAAATATGTATGCTGCTACTAATTAACTGTGGTTGGTTAAATAGAAATGGCTTTCCAAAGTTCTATCGAGGTTGAATCTTGCCCAAAGCAAATCAAGGTGAATTAAGTTTTCAGGGACAACTAACAGAATCCACCAGTCATTACTCCAGTTGCTTGCATATCAAAGAGATGAAAGAAACTTGGAGATCCTTTAAGGAATCCAGGTATGGCACTGGATAATAAGGTTGGTTTGAATAGCGGGTTTGGTGGTTCAAACTCACCAGCGGATCCTCGGAAACCCTATACAGGGTCACTGACTCCATGGCACGTAACAACAACAACAAACTTTGGTACCTGTGAACATGATCTTATTTTGAAATTGGGTTTTTGAAGATGCTATCAGTTCCTATGCGGTCTTACTGGATGGAGTACAGTGGGTCTTAATACAATTGCTTCTAAAAGAAAAGAAACACAGACAGACAGAGGGAAGATGTGATGACTGAGTTATGCTGTAGCTGCAAGCCAAGAATGCCTGAGGCAACCAAGAGTTGAGAGAGACAAGAAAGGCTCTTCTAGAACCTTTGGAGTGAACATGATCTGACAGCCTGAATTCAGACAATGAATTTCTGTTCTTTAAAGTTTAAAAAAAAAAAAAAAAAAAAGCTGAAGCAAAATCCAGCTTCCAAAATTCTAACCCAGTTGCTGGTAAATATCTTCTTTGAAGACACTGTTAAACTGCTTCTCAGTTTTCAATGTTATGGTCAGTGGTACGTCACTGAGATTGTAGGTTTTCTGATCATTTCAGATTCTAGGAATCCTGGTGTGGCGCTGTAGGATCAGCACCGGACTGTGAACCACAAAGTTGGCAGTTCTAACCCACCAGCTGCTCGTCGGAAACCCTATACAGGGTAGGTATGAGTCAGAACTGACTCAATGGCACTTAACACTAACAACAATCATAGCTGGCAAGCTAGGCCTGGTTTCTTCATTCATCAGCTGAATTGGTTATCCTGAATCTTTTCAGTCTGAAGTCTTTTCACTGTCCACGTGATCCTCTGACAAAGTAGAAAATGACTTCAGAATAAGGCCTTATAGAAAGTGAATCATGCTTACTTTAGTCCAAATAAGGTATATATTAATTCATTTATAATTATACAGCACAATACAGGAAGAGTCTGAGTTTGCCAATTAAGAAAGGAAGAGCTTCCACCTATACTACTCAAATGTGATTACTTCACTGTGTATTTGTATTTATTTCAGCACCAAAAGAAAAAAATAAAAACAGGTGAGGAAAAAGTCCTGCCTGAGGGTTTTATGAAAGTCTGATATGGGAACCAAGCAATGTAAGGAGACAGCCTAAGTAGTGGAAAGATAAGATTCTAGAACTAGAACGGACTGCATGCATGTTTTGTGTATTTCACACACTACGAACGCTGTCCCTGAATTCCAAACTGTCATCAAATAACATCATTAGGAGGAGATACAGTGGAAGCAAAGACATCTCAGAGTTGAGTTACTCCTGTTTAGCAGTCCATGGGGTGGGGCGATCTCAACCTAATCTGGAAATACTCCCTCCCATTAGTCCATCAGTTCCTTTCACTGGCCAGCCTCATTCTTCACGAATCTGTGTCAGGATGTATGGCGATGCCCATTCCCACACCTCTGACTACACACATGGCATCCTCCATCCTTCAAGACCCTGCCTGAATGCTATCTTCTCATCAGATGCCAACAAACTTCAAGGGTTGACCAATCATTCTGGTCAGGACTCACCTTTCCCTCTGGCAGCTAGTGTGTCTATGGGAGGTTCCGGGGCTTGAAGCTACTCTGATTTTGCTTTGATAAAAAATTAAGACAGCTCTTGGTGACCACACAGCTATGCTCTGGGTCATCCATTTTTCTCTCTCCCAAGGCACCTGGCCTTGTCTACAAAGTAATAATAATACGAGTTGATAAATTTAAATGATTATTTGAACCAACTATGGTTTTGACCGCTAGTTTCATCTGTGTTGTCACATCACACCAAACTAGTGAGCTTCAAATGCCCGCTAGCTGTTCGTGGACAGAAAGAAGCTTGGCAGTTGTGAAATCGCTAAAAAAGGTGGGGAGGGAGAAGGGAAGGAAAAGGATGCCGGGTCTGAATAATTCTCACTGAGTCACCATTTCCTGAATGATGTGCTTCGGATATTCGGAGACTAGAACCTGAGAGGCGCGCACCCTGGAAGATCCCTCCTCCTAGTCCCCCCGCCCCGCAGTGGCGGGACCCCAGAGCTGGGCCCTACAGACACCCACATGCTGGAGCGCCCTCCTGTGGTCCCGCAGCTCCCCGCCGACCACGCTCCCCGCGGCGGAAGAAACACGAGACACAGAAAGTTTCCGAGCCAGGCTGTTTGCAAAAGGTCGGAGCCGGGTCCCGGAGCCTCCGAGCGCGGGCGTGGCGGGAACGGCGCCCAGACCGGTGGTGGCGACGAGGGACCTGGAGCCCAGACAGCTTCCCAAGGAGCTCCAAGGTGTCCCCGGCCGCCCCCAGCAAAGCTGGGGTCCCCCCAGAGCCCGAGGGCGAAGGGCTTCTCCAGCTCCTTACTGCGGAGGGCAAGCAGGAGAGGCTGGGCCCACGGCCAAGACCAGTGACACCTCTTACCCCCTCCTACGTTTGGGCACGTTCGCGGCTCTAGGGTTTGCTTTATTCAATTTCTTAATTGGAGGGAGGGGGCGCGCGAACTCCCTTTGGCCGATAGTGATCCCAAACCACCTAAATTCATAGGTTCCTCCTTGCCCACCTGGAGTCCACCGCCCCACCCAGCGCCGCCCTCCCCCACTGGGTGACAAGTGGAGAGAGAAAACCCCCTCCGCCTCCCCTTCCAGCCTCTGGTTTGTGGAGGTAATGTTCCAACAGGATCTCCCTGCCGTCCGCAGTGGACCCGCCTGCTCGGGGGACGCGACGCCTGGGGGAGGAGGACCTGGGCGGGAGAGGCAGGGCCCGGCGCGGCGCTTACCTCGTCCACAGTGAGGGGCATGCAGATCCGATACTCCTTCAGCAGCATGGTCCTGCTTGCTGCCAACACCTGGGGCGGGAAGCTGGGGGCGCCTCCCAGACCGACAAGGCTGCCGCCCAGGCGCGGACAGAGCTCTCGGAGCCGGCCCGCGGAGCACCCCGGCAGCCCTCTCAGTTCCTGGCTGTCGCCTTTCCGCCCCAGAGCATGTCAAGGTTTGGGTCCGGGTGTTCGCCGCTTCCCCGCCTCCTGCCTCGCTGAGATCTGTCCTCCCGGAACGCGGTGTTGCAAAGTCGGGAAAGGAGGGAGACCCGCAGGCGAAGGCTCCGATCGGCAGCCCGGGGCAGTAGGAAGATCAGGACATGCCCGGAGGCGGGCTCGGGAGAGGGGGAAAAATCGAGATTCCAAAAATGAAAACGAATGCACAAAAGTCACCCACTTGATCCGCCTCCGAAACGAGAAAGGAACCTGGCGACCCCCCCTGCGGCCGGTCCGCCCAATGCTAATGTCACCAAGAACACAGTACAACCGGAGCCCAAGATGCTAGCTTCCCAGACAAAGGCTCGCTCGGCTCCTCTCCGCGGGCGGTAAACAAGGTTTCCTTCTCTTTTTAGGGCCAGTCCCTGAGCCGCTCCAGTGCTGGGCTGCGAGAGGAAACAGAAGCCGCCGCCGCGGCTCGCCTCTGCCGGGCTGGGGCCGCCGGTTCCTCCGAGCTCGGCGGGCGGCTGCGAGGGGCGGGCACGAGGAAGCTGGCGCCTTCGCACGCTGCTCTCCCGGAGTCCTTGCGCCCCGCGAGCGCCGTGCGTGCCTGCGAGTTTGCGGCCACCGGGGCCCGAGCGTTCGCGCGAGCTGCAGCGTGCCTGGGGCCGGGGAGGTGGGTGCAGGAGGAGGGCGTGCGAGCGAGCGAGGCTGACATCAGCAGCGGCCGCGGCGGGGAGGGTAGCCCCATCCGGCCAATGGGGAAATGGCAAAGAATGTGGAGGATTTAAACAAAACAGTATGTCTCTCCCGGGCAGCTGCCAGACGGCAGGACTGCCTCGGAGTCCAGGCCGGCGGGGGGGCAGGAGAGGACTAGAAAAGGGGGCTCCCCTCAGCTCCTCTACCCTCTGAAGTGTTATGAAATGTGTCTTTGGTGCCACGGGGTCTGTTCGGCCACTCTGGGAGGCTTTCTAGTTTCACGGTCTGGGAATTTGCCTTGATCGTTGGGAAAAAGGTCTTTTACAAATGCCTACATTTTCGCTTTGGTCCAGCAAAGCCAGCTTCGTTGCCTGGTTTCATAACTGCGAGGGAATCCTGGAAACCCGAAAAGTGTGCAACGATGTGAAGAAAATGCAGGTCGCACAGAAGGGAGTATGAACTCAGCAAGCCCATGCCGCCTTTTACCTGTCCTGGTCGTGACCCCTCTCTGCTGCAGTCCGCGAATGCAGCCTTCTCCGTGTAACTAACGGGAATAGGTTTTCTTGTCAGCACTCTTAAGTTCAAAAAGTCACAGTGAAATGTCAATGAAAATGCCTGGAGTGTTGGTCTTTCATCCATATTAAACAGATCCCTCATTTTAACCACAAGAGGCACATTCTTCAGTTACTCCGGAAGCAGCATGTAACTGCTGAAGTCTGTTTTTCATTTGTCTGGTATTTTTAAGCTTGTTGTCCCAAAAAGTTGCCGAATGAAAAATGCATAGGTGCCTACATGAGGAATAACCTGTATATACCATCTTTTCTAAGAAAAAATATTAATTCTCTAAAGTTCTGGATCCAATCCTGTCGTTTGGATGGCAGTACAGATGGCCTCAATATTAAAGTATTTTAAATTATGATTAATAGATAATTCACCAATATAATGATGATGGGCTTGTATCCAAAAAAAAAGAAAAATCGTCCAGATGGCTGGAGAGAATTTATAACTGAACTAACATGATCCAAAACTTACTAGTTGAAAGCTACCCTATATCCAGCTTGTATTTTAGTGAAATCTATTTTCTAGATAAATGCTTCCCAGAGTTGGCTCAGAAAGACTTGCAACAACTAATTAAAGCTAAACCAAATTCCTCGAGGTGGAGAATCTAAATCTGACATTGTAGTGTTGAATAATAACACATTGAAAGCCTGTGATCCGAAAAGAAGCCCAAGTTTCTTTTTTTGGCTTCTTACTTGAAAACAAGTGTAGTGGTTTCATTTCTGGCACCTAATATTCTTCCCAGAGGCAGCTAGAAAATGAATTCGCTAGGCAAACACATGCCTGTCTGACATGTCATCAGTAGGGACCAGTCCTTGGAAAAGGACATCCCACATGGGCTAGTAGAGGGCGAGCAAAAAAGAGGATGATGCTCAACAAGATGGATTGGCACATGGGCTGCAACAATGGGCTTGAACATGGCAATGATTGTGAGGAAGAAGTAGGACTGGGCTGTGTTTCCTTGTTCTGTTGTACATATGGCATAGAGATTGGGCGTCATCTCGACAGCATCTAAAATAACAACATTCTTGGCTTCCTGGACATCTCCAGACATAGATAATGAATTCTGTAATGAAGTATTTTAGAGATGACTAGTACAGTTGAAAGGAGCTCTGGTAGCGTAGTGGTTACGAATCGGACTGTGAACCGCAAGGTCAGCAGTTCGAAACTACCAACTGTTCCGCAGGGGAAAGATGAGGCTTTCTGCTCCTGTAAAGATTTACAGCCTCGGAAACCCTGTACAGGGTCACTATGAGTCGAAACCGACTCCAGGGCACATAACAACAACAACAAAAGTACAGTTGAGGAACTACTCTGAATTGTAAACTACCTTTCTCCCCTGCTGCTCACTGTTGAAAGTTGACCTCTCCACCAGACTTTTCCTCTCCACTAAGTCCATTCCGATCACATTCATCTCATTAAAGTACATCCGGATCTTGCTACCCTCAGAATCTTTCACTGGTTCTCTAGGATGTCTTCTGAATGAGTTAAAATTCCTTGGCAGAGGTTCCAGGCATGGAATCTACCTTCCCCAAGTTATCCTGTTGCCTTTCTATGTCCCTACTAAGGTCCAACTTTATTGGCTGGAGATAGTGTCCCCTTTTAAACCTTGACCTTCTACTATTATCATTGTCTTCACAGAGCATCACTCTACCCCTCCAACACACACACTTCCTCTGCCCTCACACCTTTTGGCACCATTTTTAAACAGGGCATTGACAGTACATTTCGAAAATGATTTGGAGGCCAAGTGTGTTGGATGGATCAGGGAAAGAAAATAGAGAAACAGGAGGTTATTAAAATATTGTATGTAATAGTCCAGGAGACATACCGGGAAAGTCTGAGTTAGGCAGAGAATGGAACAAAGAGGATGAATTGAAAAGATTTGGATTGGATTTGGGGATGGATGATGGTATTCACTACTACAGTGCTGGGGTGCCAGGGGCCCAGGGAGAGATATTCATTGAAATCATTCACACCAAGGAGGGAGAGCGCCATCTATTGGTCAACCATGATTCTTTAAAAAATGTTTTAAGCCATTTCAGCAAGTCTGGCAGGGAGGGAGAATTGCACATTATCTTTGTTTCTTTCAACCAACTGAGTCCCTGGTATTTACTTACGAAGATCCCTGAAGGTATTGTCATCATGATTATGGATGGTAGTGATGTTTCATAAACAATATGCAATAACCAGTTGCTGATGGGGGAGCAAATGATAAAAAGAAAAACAAAGAGAAAAGTTACCAGACAGGAACGGTATAACCAAAGGAAAAAGAAGATGAGTCTGTGCCTGTCTGTACAGCATCTATTATCAGAAAGCTAAGGTTCTCAGAAGGGAAGGGATGGGTATGTTGGAGGGGGGTGGGGGGAGATGGTAAGTGGGAGAGGGCTGTTGTTAAGCTAACTCCAACTCATTATGACCGAGGAGCAGCTGGTAGGTTTGAACCACCGACCTTGGGGTTAGCAATCCGGTGCTTATCCTACAGCAAGCACCACACCAGGACACCACGGGGTATATGTCAAAATCAAAACCACACACACAATTGCTAAACATCCCGTGGGTAAGAGGAGACAGTCTCTCCCAGTTGAGAACCATGGTATTAGGGTAACATTCACTGATTGTATCTAAATGTTTCCTTTTTGCAAGATGCTTTTGAAAAACTTAATTTCAACTTATCAAAATCATGGCTAAGAAGAGAGTAAGGAAACCAAACTGTTACCTAGTTACCTTGCCATTCCTATTGTTGTTGTTAAGTGTCATTGAGTCTGTTCCGACCCATGCCATTCCTATACTCAGTTGTATATTATCAAAGTTCTGCCCATTCTCAAAAGAGGAGAATTAAGCTCTGTCTCCTTGAGGAAAGAGTGTTTATACTTTTATATTATATATTTAATATTCTGCAAACATTTGCCCTTTGCTCCCCCATTTATTTATTTTTTTCACTCAATTATTTATCAGTATGGACTCGTGCATATCTATTTTATTCATTTCATAATCCAGTACTACATTATTTATTTTGTTGTTCAATTTGTTTCAGCTCGGATCATTTGTGACTTTTTCAGGTGAGTTCCTATGTCCTTTCAAAAGGCACTTTTTATTAAAAATCAAATATTATTTACAGCAAATTTTTGATTTGGGGTTGTTAAGTACCTTGAAGTTGGTTCTGACTCATAGCGACCCTGTATAGGATTTCCTGGAGTCCTGGCGTTGCTCTGTGGGTTAATGCACCAGACTGCAAACCTGTTTGAACTGGAAGGTTGGTGGTTCAAGCTCACCAGCTGCTCCTCAGAAACCCTATACAGGATCACTATGGGTTGGAACCGACTTGACAGCACTTAACAACAACATAGGATTTCCTAAGAGTGGCTTATGGGTTTGAACCACCAATCTTGCAGTTAGCAATCCAATGCTTATTCTACAGAGCACTGAATAATACTTCTAGCAAATTCTAAGTATAAATATAGGGGGCGGTGTTTAAATACCCGTATTTTAATCTGACCTTGTTAGGTTACTATATAAATGTTCAATTCTTCATAAAACTTCACAAAGCAAGTCCCAAAGGCAACGCCTATGTGTAGACCCATTATCAGACCTCTAATAAATACAAAGAATGCCTTTGATGTGTAATTGCTTCTAGTCCTGCAAAAGAAATGCTCATAAAGTAAAAACAATTTAACAATGATGTGTACAAATTGGTTCACACTTGGAGGTTCTATGGCCAAAGGTGTAGTTTAAAA